AATTCTACCAGACATACAAAGACGAGCTTGTACCATTTATTCTGAAACTATTCAAAAAAATATAAAAAGAGGGAATCCTCCCTAACTCATTTTATGAGATCAATATCATCCTGATACCAAAACCTGGCAGAGACACAACTAAAAAAGAAAACATCAGGCCAATATCCATGATGAACATCAATGCAAAAATCTTCAATAATATACTGGCAAACCGAATGCAACAACACATCGAAAAGCTTATCCATCATGATCAAGTAGGCTTCATCCTGGGTATGCAAGGCTTGTTCAACATAGGCAAATATATAAACTTAATCCACCACGTAAACAGAACCAAAGACAAAGAATTAATGATCATCTGAAATGGATACAGAGAAGACCTTCAACAAAATTCAACAACCGTTTATGCTAAAAACTCTCAAGAAACTAGGTATGAATGGAATGTACCTCAAAATAATAAAAGATACTTATGACAAACCCACAGCCAATATATTATTAAATGGGCAAAAACTGGAAGCATTCCTTTTGAAAACTGGCACTAGACAAGGATGATCTCTCTCACCATTCCTACTCAACATAGTATTGGAAGTTCTAGCCAGAGCAATCAGGCAAGAAGAAGAAATAAAGGGTATTCAATTAGGAAAAGAGGAAGTCAAAATGTCTCTATTTGCAGATGACATGATTGTATATTCAGAAGTCCCCCTGTCATCTCTGCCCAAAATCTCCTTAATATGATAAGCCACTTAAGCAAAGTCTCAGGATACAAAATCAATGTGCAAAAACCACAAGCATTCCTAAACACCAATAACAGACAAACAGAGAGCCAAATCATGAGCCAACTCCCATTCACAATTGCCACAAAGAAAATAAAATACCTAGAAATACAACTAATAAAGGATGTGAAGGACCTCTTCAAGGAGAACTACAAACCACTGCTCAACGAAATAATAGAGGACACAGACAGATGGAAAAACATACCATGCTCATGGTTAGGAAGAATCAATATCGTGAAAATGGCCATACTGCCCAAAGTAATCTATAGATTCAGTGCTATCCCCATCAAGCTACCATTGACCTTCACAGAACTGGAAAAAAAACAACTTAAACGTCATAATAGGACCTGTTCCACATTTACAAAACATTTCATCCAAGCTGCAGAATACACATTCTTCTCAGCACATGCAACATTCTCCAAGGCAGACCATATGTTAGGCCACAAAATAAATCTCAACAAATTTAACAAATATTAAGATTATATCAAGTATATTTTCTAACTACAATGGAATAAAATAATAGAACTAAATAACCAGAATTTGAAAACTACACAAATACATGAATATTAAACAGCATGCTTCTGAATGAGCAATGGGTCAATGAAGAAATTAAGAAGGAAATTTTTAGTTTCTTTAAACAAATGAAAATGAAAGCACAACATACCAAAACCTATAGGACACAGCAAAAGCAATACTAAGGAAAAATTGTAGCAATAAATGCCCAAGTCAAAAAAGTATAAAAACATCAAATAAACAACCTAAAAATGCACTTTAAAGAAGGAGAAAATCAAGAACAAATCAAACCTTGAATTACAAAGATCAGAGCAGAAATAAAATTGAATCTGAAAGACAATACAAGATATCAATTAAACAAAAAGTTGGCTTTCTGAAAACATAACAAAAATCTACAAACGTTCAGCTAGACTAAGAGAACACCCAAATAAATAAAATGAGAGATGAAAAATCAGACCAGGCTGTGGGGTGCAAGGAGAGGGAGAACATTAGGACAAGTATCTAATGCATGTGGGGCTTAAAACCTAGATGACAGGTTGATAGGTGCAGCAAACCACCATGACACATGTATACCTATGTAACAAGCCTACACATTCTGCACTATGTCCTGGACCTTAAAGTAAAATTTCAAAAAAACAATAATAAATGAGACATTGTCAGTCATACCACAGAAAATAAAAATATCATTACAGATGATTATGAGAAGTGCCAATAAATTTATAAGCCTAGAAGAAATGGGTAAATTCCTAGACATATACAACCCACCAAGACTGAATCATAAAGAAATAGAAAACCTGAACAGACCAATAATAAGTAATGAGATGGCAATAGTAATAAAATGTCTCTCATCAATGAAAACCCCAGGATCTTGTGGCTACACTGTTGAATTCTACCAAAAATTTAAGGAAGAACTATTACAAATCCTACTCAAACCATACCAAAAAATCAAATGGGAGGGAATGCTTCCAAACTAATTCTGGAAAGTCAGCCTTATTCTGATACCAAAACCAAAGACTCCCCCAAAAAAGAAAATTATAGGTCCATATTACTAACGAACATAGATGCAAAAATCCTCAACAAAATACAAGCAAACTAAATTCAACAACAAATTTAAAAGATCATTCACATGATCAAATAGAATTAATCTTAGGGATGCAATGATGGTTCAACATACACAAATCAATAAATGTGATATATCACATAAATAGAATAAAGTACCAAAATTATACAGACATTTCAATAGATATAAAAAAATTCAATGAAATTTAACATCATTTCACGAGAAAAACTCTCAACAAAATATAGAAGGAACATATCTCAAAAGAATAAAGGCCAGATATGCAAACACAGCTAACATCATATTAAATGGGAAAAATCTGAAAGCCTTTTGTCTATGACCTGGAACAAGACAAAGATGACTGCCTTCACCACACACAAAAACCTAGTTTCATGGTGTACATGTGTGGGCTTGTACATAAAAATATTGCATAATGCTAGGGTTTTGGGCTTCTACTGAACTCATCATCCAAATAGCTAATATAGTACTCAGTTGGTAGTTTATCAATCCTTCCTCGATTCCTCCCCCTTTTTGGAAATCCCAGTGTCTATTGTTTACATCTTTATGTTTATGTGCACCCATTTTTTGCCTCCCGTTTATAAGTGAGAACGTGCAGTATTTGATTTTCTGTTTCTGTATTCGTTCACTTAGGATAATGACCTTTGACTGTATCTATGATACTGCAAAGGGCACGATTTTATTTTCTTTTATTCTTATGGCTGTGTAGCATTCCATGTTACTTTCACCACTTTTATTAAACATAGTCCTGGAAGTTGTAACAAGAGGAATTAGTTAAGAGAAAGAAACAACACCCAAATTGAAAAGGGAGAAGTTAAATTGTGTTCATTTGCAGATAATATAATTTTATATTTAGAAAAAATATAAAGACCCCACCAAAAATGTATTGGAAGTAAGAAACTGATTATATATATATACATATATATATATATATATATATATATATATATATATATATATAATCAACATATAAATTTCTAAATGCCAACTGTGAAAAATGTAGGAAAAAAATAAAGCAATCCTTTTTACAATAACTACAAAATATAAAATACCTGTAAATAAACTAAGCCAAAGAAGTCAAAGGTGTCTGCGATCTTTCACTTCTTTGTGAAAGAAAAAAAAAAGTCAATCTAAGACCTGTAATTATGAAGTTACTAAAAGAAAACTTTGGGGAAAAGCTTCAGGACATTGATCTACACAATGATTTCTTGAGTAAGACTTCAAAGCACAGGGAACCAAAGGAAAAAATGGAAAGTGAAATCACATCAGCTAAAAAGCTTCTGCACAGCAAAGGAAACAAACATAAAATGAAAAGACAACCCAGGTAACAGGAGAAATTATTTGCCAAGTATTTAATTAACAGGAAATTAATAACAAAAATGTATAAGAAATTCCAACAACTCACTAGTAAAAAATCAAATAATCTGATTTAAAAATGGGTAAAAGAGCTAAGTAGACATTTCTCAAACTAAGACATACAAATGGACAACAAATATATAAAAAGTGCTCTAAATCGCTAATCACCAGGTAATGGTATATCAAAATAGTAATGAGATATCATCTCACTACAGTTAAAATTATTATCAAAAAGAAAACTTAAAAATATTGGTAAGGAAATGAAGAAAGGGTTATGCTGGTACGTTGTTAGTGGAAATATAAATTAGCATAGCCATTATGAAAACAGTGTGGTGGTTCCTCAAAAAACCAAAGTCAAAATTCCATAGAATCCAGCAATCTGACTACTGGCTATATATCCAAAAGAAAGGAAATCAGCATATCAACGAGCTATCTGCACTCACATATTTATTTGCAGCACGGATCACAATAGACAAGATAGGGAATCAACTTAAGTGTCCATAATAAATGAATGCATTAAAATGTGATGTATATATACGTATATATAATGAAATATTATTCCACCATAGATTAAGATTAACCTAGCCCCTATGTAACTTTTCAGATATGTTAGACAATATATTGTTTTTATTGCACACCTATTTGGTTTGTTTTCCTAAAACATGTAACTGAAATCATCTTACTTGATATGGCAATCCAATATTGTTGATTATTTTCAGAATTATAAGATAGTGTGAAAAAACCGTAACTCACCAAAAAAGAACACAAAATAATTTAAAATGGTGTCACATTATGCGAACTAAATAAGGTTTGTTAAATATTGCATTCACATTCAAAAATAACTCTTTAAGTGTAAAATAAGCTACTATTTCTTCAAAGCGAGGTCTGCAAATCTAAAATATGCCTACACAATGCTTTGGAGAAACACTTAATATCAGTATTCTCGAGTGTTTATGCATATAGAGAGAATTATATCTCCGTGTTATGTGATTGGATAGAGGTGTGTATTTCGGATTATGAGTCTATGGATAGGAATTTCTGGAACTGTACATAGAATATATAGTTTTATGTATGTATACGTGCTTGGAAATTCATATATATATATATATTTGTGTATGGTCGGAATGGATTCATGTCTCCATAAATGTTTACACATGGTATTTCTATGTTAATTCTTGTGTATGCAAAGAATGTGAGGAATGCCTGAAAGATGGAAAACAGATGGAGCAAGAGAGTTGAGGGGAGGAGCTAGAGAGCTCCAGGGATCCAGGGAGGAGAGGCAGGAAGAGAGAAAAGGCCACCTACAGGTTCCACTGTTGTGAATTTTGGAAAGGAAAGAAGGAGCCCAAGAGGACTCCCAAGAAAAGACAGACAAAACAGCTCTATGTTTAGCAAGAAGGGAAGACATCAGTACTAACAGGAAACTAAAACGATAGTCTTGTGCAGAAACGGGACAGAGACTACACCCACTGCAGCAGAGAGAGACTGGTCGAAGCCCGATGTGGCTGAGGGGCCGCCTCTGGACGCAGGGAGGCGGAGGGCCAGCGAGCCAAGCGGTGCAGACGCCGCTGCCTTACTCTTTGCCTGCCTCGCCGCGCTGCTACACACGCTCCTCATCTGCGGATCCTACCCTCACAGCTCTTGCAAGCACTCACGCAGCCGGTCGCCTGCAGATCCTTCTGTGCCACAGGCTCACAACGGAGGCAGCAGCGAGGTGTCCGATTTGGGCACGTGAGGCCCCCGATCCCCGGCGGTGGACGCCAGGCAGGGCAAGGCCATTGGTGGGCACCAGAATGGAGAGGGAGATGGAAGAGAATTAAGCAGGAGACACGGGGTGGAGGTGGGCGCCAGGCAAAAGTGGGGTGCGGGAGTGCGGTGGACAACAGGAAAAGGGGGTAGGAATCGCAGCCAGATAAGGATTTGAAGGTGAGCGCCAGGAAGCAAGGGCGTGGGAACCAGGGAAGGGGTTAGGGTAGGCAGGGAGGATTATGGACAGCAGCTGGGGCACTCAGGGCAGGAGGGCAATGGGTGCCGGTGAAAGACGCTCTGCAGGGGATTGGGAGTGGACGCCAGTGGCAGTAAGGAGTGTGGAAGGGCAGCGGGCTCTGAGCTAGGAGGAGGTGGCCCAGCCACTTCTACAGACTTCCTAGCCCCAGCCAGCTCTACCCCACCACTGCTGCCCTTCTCCACAGCCCAAAGGAACTTAAGAGGGAGAGCACGGCAGGCATGCAGCCAGGATTTCCAGCATTGCTTCCAGGCTCCTGGGGAAAACTTAGGCACTAGTGCAGAGTATGTCCAGACATGGCCATAGGGAAAAGTTTGCCTTATGGCACACTGGATATGTCTCTCTCTCCTCTCTCCTCCCCCAGCAGGCATGAAGACTCCCAACACACAGGAAGCCGAAGGGCAACAAACCAGGGCAGCTGCAGGACGGGCCACCGGGTCTGGAAACATGACAAAGAAAAAAGTCTCCCAAAAGAAGCAGAGAGGCAGACCTTCATCCCAGCCCCGCAGGAACATCGTGGGCTGCAGAATTTCTCACGGATGGAAGGAAGGAGATGAGCCCATCACCCAGTGGAAAGGAACCGTTCTGGATCAGGTGCCTATAAATCCCTCTCTTTATCTGGTGAAATATGATGGAATTGACTGTGTCTATGGACTGGAACTTCACAGAGATGAAAGGGTTTTGTCTCTTAAAATTCTTCCCGACAGGGTGGCATCATCTCAAGTTAGTGATGCCAACCTTGCAAATACCATAATTGGCAAAGCAGTGGAACACATGTTTGAGGGAGAGCATGGTTCTAAGGATGAATGGAGGGGGATGGTCTTAGCACAAGCACCTATCATGAAAGCCTGGTTTTATATTACCTATGAGAAAGATCCTGTCTTGTACATGTACCAGCTTCTAGATGATTATAAAGAAGGTGATCTCCGTATTATGCCAGAATCCAGTGAGTCTCTTCCAACAGAGAGGGAGCCAGGAGGAGTTGTAGATGGCTTGATAGGTAAGCATGTGGAATATACCAAAGAAGATGGCTCCAAAAGGATCGGCATGGTCATTCACCAAGTGGAAGCCAAGCCCTCTGTGTATTTCATCAAGTTTGATGATGATTTTCATATCTATGTCTATGATTTGGTGAAAAAGTCCTAACTGTTAGCGTAAAATTTGCCACGTATGTGGAAACAAATGTATAATTTCTAGACATGCAAAAAATGTTTCTTTTCAGTGTATTGAAAACAAGGATCCCTCATAACCCAATATCTTTGGTAGCATTAACAGTTGTTTAGCTCTACAAAATACAAACTTGTGTGTACATGACATGCTGTGTGTAAGCACTTTGTCTTGTCGAAAAGGTTGGGTGTGATTGGTAGATGGGGGATGAAAGGAAGGAACAGCTGTCAGTTTCAGCTGTGAATAAAGTTCAGCTAGAATCATAATCAGTCATCTAAAAATGGCACCAGATTTAGCTGGTCTGGTCTGAAGGGAGCAGGGGAAAGAACTAGAGATTGGCTTTGGCGGGTGAAGAGAGGAGGCAGGGACTGCTTAGGAAGAGATGGAAAAGAGCCAGAAAGGCACAGGCTCCTTGGGGGAAAGGATGACCTATGCGGAAGAAATATCCAACTGCGAAGGGAGTGATGAATAACAGAGAGAGAGTGAGATCTTGGAGCTTAGAGGAAAAGAGACAATAAATTCAGTAGATAAGAACAAAAAGAAGCTTAGAAGAGGTCCAGAGTAAAGGGGAGAAGGATCAACCTGACAGGGATCTGGGGAGAGGCTAAAGGATACACAAAGGAAAAGGCTATGTGGGATAGGGTTCGGAGGGGCTCGGCGTAAACACACTAACATGGTGCCTCTCAATTGCTGGGCTATGGGTTGTCTCCTCACATTTGCCCTGTGCTGGATAAACAATATTGGTAGAAGATGGATTAGTGGGGCTCTCAGAACTTAAGAGATGTGTCATCTTGCATTTGGAAAGTATCCAGAAAAATGAAATCTTTCTGAATTCAGGTACAGCAGTCTCATCACTCTTGTTTCTTCTACTGGAATATTCTTTTTCTATCTAGAGATGAGCAGCATCAGAGGATTGAGCCTAGTTTTTCTCTCCAGAGTATAAGGAGTACTTAACTGTCCATGCTTCTTTCAACAGCTGCCTGAAACCACAGGTAGCTGGGACCAATGATCCACTAAAACAGGCATGCTCTCCCAGGAAGCCACATTCTGGTTAGACCTTCCCCACAAAGCTTGTGACTTCAGACCCCTCGCAGGCACCTGTTGGCCCGTCTTGCCTACCCCAGCTCACAGAGACCTGTGATACAAGTCTGTACAGCTCTTTGTTTCCAGGTGAGGCAGATGCCATGGGGCATTTGGGCTGAGAGTTGTGACTTGGTATAACTAACTCCCTCAGCTGTGTAGTGTCACAAGGAGGGGTCAAGATTGGTGGGGAGAGGGAGCAGCAACCCCCAAAAAGTCCCTCTGAACTATGGGGTCTGATGCGCAGATAGATCTGTGTCTTTCTCTTCCTCCCATTCTTGCCTTTCCCTCGTCTTTCTCCTGTAGCCGATCTGAAAACCCTCTCACTGGTTTCTGCAAACACACTCTTGACTAAATTATATGCCTGATCCCAAAGAAAGAGGCCTGGTGACTCCCCGCTACCCAGGTTACCCTAACTCCATGCATAGTGGGAGATGCAATGATCCTCCTGGAGTTGAAAGAAGGTGGTAAATATAGTTTATTCTCTCTACCCAATATGGCCTGAGACTGACTGCCTCAAGAATTAAGGCAAGGCAAATCAACCTCACCATAGCAAGGATTGATTTTCTTATATACATAACACAATTCAGTCCAACTAACACCAACAGGCTGTCCAGGGACCAGTCTCCATCAGCTGCCAGGTTTTGTTTCATCTTTGTGTTTTTATTGTTTTCTATTTTCAGTTAGGTACTTCAGACATTTGAGAGATTTCACACCATGAAAATTCATGTTTCTGGCACCTCCTGAAAATGAAACAGAGCAACAGCAACAAAAACCTGAGCGTTAGGCCCTCATTCCAACAAGGATACGTGCAGCTGGGCCTTAGGCAGGTCTCAGTCCAGTTTAGATTCAGAATACTGTACTCTCTCCAGTTGGCCACACCCCCAGCTGGCCAAGTTCACTCTAATAAAATGCACAGTTATCTTCTGGAAGTGTTTGTGCTTGTAACTGGGGCTATACCCTGGGAAAACTGCCCCTTTGACTTGCTTTGATCCCATTTGCTTTTTAATTTACTCATTTTCTTTATCCCACAAATACTTCAGGTGGGCTCTCTGCTAGGCACTCTTCTAGGCACAGATACCTATGATGTAATCATGAACGAAAGATTCAAAATAAAACTCTTATCCTCATGGAGCTTTCATTTTAGTGTGGGAGACAGACTGTGGCCAAAACAAGCAATTATAATGTGTTTTCATAGTGGCTAGTGTTAAATAGAAAAACTAAAGAAAGGAACTGGGATAGAAAATTTCAGGAAAGTTGAAACTAGATAGATAAGCTGGCCAGGGAAGACCTCACTGAGAACTTGGCTTTTGAGTCTCACTTGAAGGCAACGGGAGAACTGACCCTGTAGCTGTCTGGGGAAGGAGCATTCCAGATGGAGGAACAGCAAGTGCTGAGGCCCCACGACAAGTTTATGCCTGGCATGTTTGAGGAGCAAGGAGGATGCTAGCATGTCGGGAGCGAGTGAGCAAGGCAGAGAATAGCAGGAGGTGGTTTCAGAGACGTAATGGGGATGAGGGAGAGGCAGACACTGACAGCCCTGTGGATTTCAAAATGCAATTTGTCTTTTACATTGAATGTGATGGAGTCATCCATGTATTGATAGTGGAGGGGAGACAAGATTTGTCTTAGTTTAACAGGATCCCTCTGACAACTTGAAGAATACTTTTTATTAGTATATGATGAATTAAAGGGAAAATAATTAGGCTATTCCAATTATGTAGGTAACAGATGATGGTGGGTTTCACCATCCTGGTGGCAGTAGATATGGTGAAAATTAGTTGGTTTTGGCTGTGCATTGGATGAGAAATATGAGTCAAGCACTACACCATGTTTTCTGGTCTTCTTTTGAAGATTTCCTTAAGAGAAACAAATTCCCAGTGAAAACTACAGATGACAGAGTTGGGCTTTATACTAAATGCCTAGATTGGTATAGAATACTGATGAAGTGATCTCTACAGAATGAGAAACTGACCCAGAAATTCATTGATAAATCATTGTTATGAGCCTCTCCCCTCTTGATAACTTCCATAGCCATTATATAGGAAACCACTGATATGTTATTTTGGCAATGGGGCAACAGGTACTCCAAAGGACGTTTGTCACAGAGTTAAAACCGTTAATGAAAAAGTTAATGTAAGGCTGTTCGTAAGTTCTTAGTAGTCCGACAGGGCTTTAACCTGTATTCAATTTGGATAAGGGACAGCTGTTTGTAGTTAAGTAGATTTGTTCAAAATTCATTACATATGTCACATCCCATTTCCTGTTCCCCAAACCCATGTGATATTATTGGTCCTGAGGATACGTGAGTTAAAATGTAAGAGAGTTTCATGTTAACTCTCTCTCCTCTCAGAGATTACAGTACATTTTTTAAATAAATAATGTCCTATATTTATTTTTGATAAGTAACAACAGGTTCAGGCATATCTGTAACATTTTTGCTTTCTCTTTAAGACTGAAATTGTACCATATCTCAACATAATGTTACAGTTAATGTTTCAGAGGAGGAAGAACTAAAAGTCTTCTTTTCTTTGCAAGTTTGTAACTGTATGAGAGAATAGCAGCATCATCACACAATTGGAAGTTAAAATATCCACTTTATATTTGATAAAAGCTGAACTGGAGGACTTATTTAGATAGGGGGCTTCAGGAAATTCTTAATACTTCACCCAAACACAAGCACACCTGAATAACTATGGACAACTCTGATACAGCCACAAAGTATACCCTACGTTTGAGAGTGAATCAGAGTGCCTCTTCCGTCCAAAAGAAAGAGATCCAAGAGATAATTCAAATGGTTTTTCACATGTCCAACCTCTCTCAGTTTCACCGATTAGAAGTCATTGAGAGATATGAAGCCAGAGGAATGAGGGTGCTATTTAGCAAACACTATACACAGTACGTCAGAGAAACAAAATGTAATTTTTAACTTTATGTAATTAATATGTTGCACAAAATACATGAGCATAATTTGCAATGTATTATAGTTTAGAGGTTAGATATCTTCAGTGTGGCTTCAATGTACTTTTTAAAATCAATTTTGGGGGCATCTGAGATAAATGAGCTGCTAAGCTCCCTTATTTAAATAAGTAATGTCACATATTAAACAGGGGACTCACAAAGAGGGAGCATGATTGCACTGACTCCCCTATAATCTTCTTGCCTTCCTTGTCTTGAAGGAAGTAAACTATACCACTGTTTGACCACAGTAGTGGCTAAGTAAAACCACTAGTTTTAAAGACACTAAACAATGAGCACATGAAAACTCTTGCACTAAAAATCACTACACTTTAAAATATTGGATAAAATATGACAGACTTCCTTTTAAATGTGTAGCTGAGCTTTAAATATTGTAAGTCCATGGGGACCAAAAATTAAGAGAGAACTGCAAACAGGGGTAGTAAGCACATAACCTGATATTTTGGCAACATGGAAGCAGAGGGGTGCTGTCTAAGTAACTAAAGGATTTTAAAAAGATAAGGCCTTAAGTTTGATAAATTTGCCTGTTGGAAACTAAGATCTTCTCACCTGCCTTTCAATCCCCACATAATAGCCATAACTATCTTTTAAAAATATAAACCAGATTATGCCACCTTCTTGCTTAGAATTCTCCAAAGGCTTCTTATTGCAGTTGATATACAAAACAATCTTCATGCCTTACTCTGCATGTGCTAGATCATCCATTCTCAAGCAGGATGATATTGCCCCCAAGGGTGAGAAATATGATGGTCGATGTGAGAGGTGAAAAGATATCAAATTTTACAATGGTTTGTGGCCTCCAAAGTGCAACTGTATTTGACAAAATCTTATACTTTTGAACTTAATCACTCTTGTTTTGAATATCACAGAAGCATTGCCATTTAGCTCATGGAAAATAAATGAAATGTATGCAAGACCAGAACTACAAAATCAGAGCAAATAGATGTATTTGATTGTAGGACTTTCAATCTATTGCACATTCTTGAAGTCATATGTCAAGAAGTGGCCTGTGTGTACCTACTGGCTGCCATTGACTGACTATGTTTGATCTTCAGTGTCCTTGTGTGTGACTTGAGCTTGGAGAATTA